AAAATGAAATATATATATATATATATATATATATATATAGAATGGTTTTTCTGTCTAGCATGATATTGTGGAAGTGCAGAAGCTAGTTACAATTTTGTCAGCAGCATTTTTTCTCTTTGATAAGTGTTAACAGCTTGTATTAGCTAGTTCATTGTGTTTTTGTATTTCCACCTGATTTTTAGGTAGCTCCAATGCTTAAGTTTTCCTGAGCTTTAACAATTTTGTTTTCAATTTCTTGTCTTTAACCTAAAGTAATGATTATTATATTTTCAGGTTCATGTGTGTACTGTTTCCGAATTGTGTTGGTTTTCAAGAAAATGAAATATCCATTTCCATGCAAAATACACATATTTGGAAACTGTCTAAGATTTACATATTTTCCTTTAATTGTGATGATCATGCTGGCATGTGTTCATGCTGAGCTCTACATTAAGCGTTCATTAAAAGGTCTATGAACTCCTAAAACTACATTTAGTTATAAATGGTATAAAAACTTGTGTTTCGTAATTAGAAAATTGCAGCTATATGTGCATTTGTACTTTTTATATTTAAATTAACAATTATTTGTGTGCTTGATAAGGGTAGTACTTGAACAACTTGATTAAACTAACTTTCTGTTTGTCCATTTATCAGCTTGATGAAAGAAAATGAGCTTATGAATCATCCCATGTCAAATTTGATCATTGGCTTGACATTCTTTCAGCTTTGGTATTCCAATCTCCCAGAAGAGGTTAAGTTGAAAGATTTGGACCAGGGTATATCCAGCCAATCAGAAACTTCAGAAGAAAGATTCAGCAATCAAGTTGAGAACACAGAAGGCAATAATGAGTTTTATTCTCATGAGGCTCATTCTTCCCTCCAATATGATTCAGACACATCTGTCATGAATGGTAAAAGGATAGCAGCAGAAGCTAGTAACAAGCTGCAGATAGAACTTTCTGCCAAGATTGATGTTAACCCACAAAGCAAAAGTCTCACACAAGACGTTCAGCAACAAAGCTTCCAGTCAAACTCTACAGGAAATGACGCTTGTTTCTATGATTATGGCAGTTATATGCCTGACCCATCCATCCTCTCTGCTCTTGGTGAGCTCTGAGTGCCCTTGACATTATTTGAACAGTTCTATTGATATTTCTTACCTGTGGTTGGTTGCCTTTTTTTGGATTGGCTCACACCTGTGGCTACCTTCAGTTTGTGAACTTTGCATATTCATTTGACTAGGCCGACAGTAAGCAAGTTTGTCATATTTTATGTATACACAGTGGCTGGGTATTTAGTTTGCTTTTCTTACACTAGCACTGCAGAATGGGAGGTGGGCACATTCTTCTTCCCACCTTTCCTTCCTTCTCTGCCTTCTATTTTGGTAAATGATAAACTTATAAGATTGCAGCTGCTCTGACTCTGATTATGCTATAGAAATTCTGGAAAAGGAGAAGAAGCTAAAAGAAGGACTAGATTCAAGGAACCAAATGAACTATGAGGAATATGATGAAGCTAAGCAGAAAACTAAAACTGACTACTCATAATAATGATTTTAAGGATGTTCAAGCCTCTCGAACATTTTAAGTAAAAATTAAAAAGCTTGGTGTCATTTTCATGTAGTAGCTTAGGAATAGTTACTCTGACATGTCTTGTTCATAGACAATGCCACCTTTGCAATGCTCAAAAATTTTATTTTATTACTGATTGTTCTGATTTGCTTTTGGACTCTAATAATGTCACACCAACTTGGTTGAACCTTATAGGTTGAATTTAAATATGCAAAATATGCATATTTGGAAACTTTTTAAGATTGTTCTGATATTCTTTTGGACTCTAATAATGTCACAACCAACTTGGTTGAACCTTACGGGTTGAATTTAAATATGCAAAATAGGTATTTTTGGAAACTTTCTAATATTGTTCTGATATGCTTTTGGACCAAATTAGTTGAACCTTGGGTTTCTAACCTTTTAAGAGGGATATAGAGTCAATTGCAACTGTAGAATCAGTAACTCATTGGGTTTAAATGCTGAAAAAGTGGAATGGAGGTGAATCCTAGAGGAAAGATGGGCCATTAAGGTTTGTCATTTTCTTTAACATAGATTCTGAAAGTTTCAATGTAATTCTGTTTGCTGAATTGGTGTTGACTAATTTATTATGGTCTCACGCACATCTTTTAAATTAGTGAGGTGTCTTTTGTGCACTTTTAGTTTCATTAGATTTTCATGTCTATTATAATTTCTCATTAGAGATTTATACTTTATGATAAGTTCTGGTAACTATTGCTTTTGATTTTTGATCATATAAAATGAAGACTGAAATTTGATCTGTGCCTTTTAAGAGGGTCTGGAGTCTTGGTTGTTGCCCGTACGACTGCCACACTCAAGTGAGAAACTTATCCATTTGCATAGGCAAATGCTTGATAATCATTACAAGGATGCCATGAAGTATTTCCAGCTTGCTCTTTACTCGACACCACCAGTATTGACAGCTTTACTTCCTTTGATACAGGTAAATTTCTGTGTTAGTCATCTCTGTCATTGTCTGGAGTTGAAGCAGTTTTATGAAAGATTTAGATTTGAATAGCTCAAAATACATTTATATAAAATCAAATAAAACTGTAGTTACAAGTTACAACAGAGTGGTTTTCTCTCCCTGCAACTCACTGAGCGATGCTAAGATCATTCCCTTGAATTTTAGTTACCAATCAACAGGCTATTTGGGTGTTTTTCCCCTACTGCACTGAGAAAGAGCATAGTCATTGCTGATGTCTAGAATTGCCTCAAAGTAGTAGGAATTGGTTTCTGGTATATATTCTCTCTATGAAAAAATTTGCTGTTTCTAATATCTGTACTAACGTATAATACTCTTTTCTTTTACCAGTTGTTGTTGATTGGAGGTCAAGTGAATGAGGCACTAAGGGAAATTGAGAAGTTTTGTAATAGTCTGAATGCTCCATTTCCATTTAGGTATGCAACTTCTTGTTTGTGGTAGACTAAAAAAGACTAAATTGAAGGAAATTATATTTCATTTGGCTGTCCACTAGATAACCTGAGAAACACAGAGAAAATGATATGAATAATTGTTAAGACGAGGACTTTGACTAATAAATTTATGCATTCCTTTTGTTGCTATAAGCATCACTGCTTTACTGGTAATGGGTTAATAAGGAATTTGCCATTTCTTAGCGTTAGTATTGGGTGCAGTTTGAGTATGAACTATGAAGGTTATTTGTGTAGTGTAGAGAAATGCTTTCTGGGTATGACTTTTTCTTTCCTGTCTTTTCCAGTCAGAAGAATTTTGATGCAACAAATAAAAAATAAATCAGTGAGCAGTCCCTCCTATTAAGTTAGATAATAGCCAACCTAAGATAATTTTGAGGTTTATTGTGCTCATAATTTTAAGTTGTCCTCTTCACCTACCATTAGTTGATTTAAGTTAGTTGCCATAATTAACACCTCCAAAAGATCTTATGTTAAAAGTTTGTGAAAAGAACTTAAGAGTCTGAGAAATAACCCTGTTACCTTTGTTAAAAGTTTGATTATTCCCTGGAGTGTTTGAATTCCTTATTCATAAATATGGTATAATGTAAATGCTGTTAGGGAGGGACAAAGAAGAGTGCAAAGGTGTCTTGTTTTGTATGTAATGCATTATGGGTAACATGGATAAGCTGTCTAGTGCTGGTCAACGGACGGGGTTAAGGTGTATATGGTTATCGACAAATTATTTTAAGTGTTGGAGTATCCCTTATACTTCTAATTGATAAATTCATTTTTTTTGGCCATCAAAAAGAAATAACCCGCTACCTTTGTTTTCATTTAAATAACTGATACTTTTCTGAACATCTGTGCAGTTCTGTGCTTTGAAATTGCTGGAATGCATATTCATATCTACTTGTAACAATTGATAGTCTTTTTTAAGAAAGTTGTGTTCCTAGCCTAATTGCCTTAAGAGTTAGGATTCCATTATCAATCAATATTCATTGGTGTATTTCATTGTTGTTCTTGTTTTTCCATTGATTATGGAATTCCATGAAACTGGTGATTCAATTCCATTCTTCTTCTACTTCTTCTGTTTCTTCTTCTTCTCCATTTTTTTTTAATTTTTAATTTAATTCCATTCTTGATTAATAGAATCATAATTGGAATCTCAGTCTGACAATTATGCACATGCCCTTTAGAGAAATACTAAGATACTATTTGTTTTCTGCAGATTAAAGGCTAGTCTTTTGGATTGCTTTAATTCAAATGACTCTGTTCTGCGTGCAACCTCTTTCGAAGACATCTTGAAGAAGGATCCAACATGCCATCTCTCATTAGCGAAACTTGTCAGCATGCATCAAAATGGTACGCTGTCATTGGACTGGATATTACATTGTTGGCCTATAGATCCGTGCCTTGCGTATTGTTATTTGTATGAAGTGATTCTATTCCCTTGGTCAAACAAGCAGCTTGATATACTTCCACTGTTCTGAAACTTCCTGAGATCAGATCAATAGAGAGCATCTCCAGAAAATGACTTGACATGCCCTTAGCAACCCACTCTTCTACCCTCCTATTTTAAATTTCTAATCTCTATTATTCTTCTAATACGTGAATCTTTTCCTCGTAAAAGATTTTTTGAGTGTGATTGACAAATCTCATCGGTTAATCATACTCATAATTGTGCTTCTGATATTTTTCAGGGGATTATAGTCCAGAATCCCTAATGGAAATGATTGCTTTGCATTTGGATGCTACCTATGCAGAATCTGAAACATGGAGAGAGTTTGCTCTGTGTTTCCTCAAACTCTCTCAATATGGAGAGGATCGATTGTCAGCATGTCTAAATGGGAAAGAAAACAAGCCAAAACCAAAGTACTCCATTCGTTACAATAGGACCCCAGAAATATTTACCGTGGGGAATTCTGGAAAAGCTTGGAGACTACGCTGCAGATGGTGGTTGATGCGTCACTTCAGCAAGAAGATGCTTGCATCAGAAATAAACTCAGGTATCATGGTTTCTTGTACCACTGAATTGCCTCATCATTGCTACTGGCACCACGGTGCTTACATGGTTGTTTCCCTCTTTCCTGTTTTGATACAGGTGACCTGCGGCTGCTGACATACAAAGCTGCATGTGCATCCCACATTTATGGCCATGAAATTGAATATGTTGTGAAGGCTTACACTCGTGTAAAGGAGGTGAATAATAGAGACTTGCTCTTGTTCTTACAAAATCACTTTCAGAATTCCGTGAGAATTTTTTCAAACTTCAAAGATAGAAGTGAATGAATTAAATATTTTATTCAAATTATCTGTTTGTTTTATCCTTCCAATCCCTAAGAACATTGCAATGTGCCATTAAGATCAGTGATAAATGGTGTAAATAAGGATATGAATTTTTTTTTATTTAAAAATGTTAATTTTGTTAATTTCTAAATAAAGATATTAACTTTTAACTTTTTTTACTTAAAATATATTAATTTTTAATTTTTTTTATTAAAGGATATTAATTTTTAACATTTCAATTAAAAAATTTATTTATCATATTAACATTATCATTTAATTAATTTTTAAATAGAAAAAGTTAAAAATTAGTATTTAAAAAGTTGAAAGTTAATATTTTTAAATAAAAAAAATCAAAATTGATATTTTTAGTTAAAAATTGATAAAATTAATATTTTTAAATAAAAAAATTCTAAAGTTGACATCTTTATTTACTATTTATTCTCTAAGATCAACCAAAAAAGTATTAATCTTGAGATATAAGAAATCTGATTTGAGAACACTTGACCATTCAAATAATAATAAAATAAATTAAATTATACAAAATTTATATGAATATAATAATGAAATCAAACTTTTTGGCAATGAAATTTGAAATTTTTAACTTATAAATGCTGCAAGGCATAATCTCATGGGTAAAGAGTCTTTTTTACCAT